TGGTGTTTTTTTGGGAAGGAAAAGAGAAACAGACAATAGAGCACGAGGGGGCGGGGGGGGGGGGGGGAATAAATACCAAGCCAATCAAATGTGTTAATTTCAAAATTAAAGATTGTTTTGTTCTTGCTCCCCTTTTAATAGCAGCGGAATATTTTAAAACTTAAATGTATTTAGATTTATACTGTTAATTGTGTCGTTTTAGTTTACCTTATAGTGAAAATAATTAAATACAAGTTTAAGCACAATGTATGTGATTTTTGTATATTATTGTTCCTCTGGGTCAAACTTTGGACCATGTTTTCAGGGTTGATGAAGTTCTTAGAAATGGTTTATTTCACCATTGAGCAATAGATAATCAATAAATAAAAACATGACTGCATTTTCAACCTATCACACAGGCGTTCTGTGACTAATAATTTAAGCATTTTAAATTATTAGCACCATTCAATAAATTAAGCACTTTAGGAAAAATTGTGCTGATCATTAAGTTATGTCTTATTCAAAGTTTTTATTCATTTCTAAATTAAAAGATTTTTGTGTCTCGACAATATTTGATCATTTCTTTATCAACATCTTATATATTCAAAGTGGTCGATCCTCAGATGAACAGAGAATATTTGAAACCTAATTTGAGATTCATAAAATCTCTATTCTCTTTGAGGCCACTTAAAAGTGTTAGATTAAGTAGCGTCTCCCAGTGGGCCAAAGTCCGTCTCCTTCAGACTCTTTTGGCCAGACAGTCTTGAAAAATTACTTTTTTTATATATATATTTTTTTTACTTAAACAATAATATCTATAATGACAAATTATTTCTTTATTTATATGTTCATATGCATTGACAGACATACACATATTTGTCAATGTTTGTCAAAGAAAAACAGAAATTGGTGCACTTTCTTCTCCAAAGTGCACCAATTTAGAACTCCCAACCTTGCATGTCAGCATAAGATAGTGCCCCAAAATGGCCACTGAATATCAGCGGTGAAAGTTTTCTGGATGTGCCTCATTTGATTGAGACGAGCATGGAAAATACAATATATAGAGTAACCAAATCTGGATTGAGTACAGTGTTGAAAGATGCCTCTGTCTGTCTATCTTTCTGGATCAACTGTTATCTGTATTTTTTTTTAGTTCTTATCATTTCTGTCAGGGCAGTAAGTGCCTGTTTGAGGGAGCGTGGGGTGGACGAAAGAAGAGTTTGCCCAAGCCACTATTCATGGAAAGATTCCCACTGCTACTTTTTTCTGTCATCATCAAGTTTATAACATTGCATACAGAAATGCTGTTCACAATGTACCTACTACATTTATTTTATTGACTAATTAAAATATGTGACAATATTTTCATAAATATAATCGACAATATTTTTTGCTTTGTCTGTGACATTTCCACAATACATAATTGTGATGTAGTCTATAGGTTTTTCTTCCATCAATATTTTTACTTTGGGATTTTCTTCCGGAATTTGATTGGGTAACTGCGCCTGGCTTGGGGGTCCTACTTGCGCGCGACATAACCTCGCGCAGCTGGCGGTGGCTGCTTACATTTTTTTTTTCTCACTTTGTGCTCGAGACTCTACAGCGGAGCGCGGAGCTCGCGCGTGTTGCCACAGGGATCTCAGCTCTGACGGACCTGGCACGAGACAGTTATTTTGTCTCTCTCGCAGACAATATTTAGCTGTTTATTGCAAGTTTTTTTCTTTTTGTTTGTTTGTTTTATTTTCGGGTAACAAAGTGTTCTGTTTGCCTAAAGTGTTTTATGTGTTTGCGCTCAACAGTGAGGTAGACTTGTACTCCCGTAGTTTTTTCTTTTTTTTTCTTGGATTTTTTTTTCTTTTTTTTTTTTTTCTACAGCGTCTTTGCTTGTGATTTATCCCGCGGATGGATGCAGCTGGCGGGGTGGACATTTGAGCCCAGCAGGATCAACCTGTCTTAGGGCATCATGAATTCGCTGGTTCTCCGCAAGTGGATGAGGAATATCTCCCATGAGATGCTGCTGCTGCTCCTGCTGCCGCTGGTGCCGGTTTGGTGTTTTCTGCCTCTGACCGGAGCGGCTCCTTCGCTGACGACCGAACAGCTGGACATGGGGGTGGTAAGTTTTTGCCTTATTTCCCCTGCTTACTAATCAGAACACAGCGGACTTAGAAGTTTCCCCTCCTTCACAGCTTTTAATTTAATCATTCTCACGTCAACCCGGCTGGTTTGATCCTCTTTCTTATCCAGGGGGGTTCTCTTGAACGTCCAGTAAAAGCAATTGCCGCCTTCTCCAAATACTTGCTCTGAATTTTAACACCGCTCTGCAGTCCAATTCACAAAGCAGAGAGACGGTGTAGCATACAGACGGCATGATTAAAAATAAGACCCTTAGACTCCAAAGAACAATCAAGTCATGAAAATAGGCATCAAGTTGTCTTTGATAAATGCATGTATTTGCCTCAGGGACTCCCCTTCCACGTTGCATTTCCTTCTGCAGATAGAAAAAAAAAAATAATTAAAATGGTCCAGTGGACTGTACAGCAGTCTGTGAGAGAACTGAAAATTCACATAAATAAAGAGAGCACTATTGATTAGAGAAAGAGGCAGCTGTTTGAGTTGTGACTTCATCTTTAAAGTGTGTCTGTTTTTTTTCTGTTAAATATAGATTGCACCAGAGCTCTTTATTGATTTTAAAGGTTCTAATCTGTCTATGTTAAATATCTATCTATATAATCTGTCTGGACCGGTCTATCATAATTTATCACACCATGTATGGTATACATTGTAGATGTAGACTCATTTGTGTGTGTGTGTGTGTGTAATCTTTCCTATGTAAGGATTTTGATGGAGAGTGCATCAGATCTGAAATGAATCTGAGTATGCAAGAATTTCTTTGAAAATGAGTCAGTTTATGCCTCGTAAAGCTAGATTATCTTCAACATTTCCCTCCAACTAGATGCATTTTCTCCACGTTAATGTCTGACTTAAACTTTTCCCTCTCTCATCTATGCTTATTTCTATAAAGATATCTTTACTTGATATTTCCTTCAAGTTTACTCCGTCTGATCCTGCGCGTCCTATACATTATATCTTTTTCCAAGTCATCACTTTTATCACACAATGATTTGAACCCAGCTACTTAGAAGAACATGTGAGGAAGTTATGTAATAGGAATACTAGTAATGAGCACAAACTGTACATCCAGCCAGCCTATTACCAACACATTATGATGGTGTGGAATACCCAGAGGCTCTGCTGTTCCTGATGACGAGAAGGCAGACATTGAGACATTATCTGATGCACTTTACCTCCAAACAAATTGTTTCCTGCCTTTCGAAAAGGTTAGTCTGGTCACATCTGATAATGTTTTCACCAAGTGCAAGCTGCATAGCTTTGGACGCAAACTATTAAAGCCTTGATTCAGGGTGATGCTTGAACTGAACAGTTTTCCCTCCCTTTCACTTTTACCTCTATGCTTTGTTTTACTCTCTGGCCTCAACATGACTTTCTGGTTCTGCATCTGAACTTTGAGTCACACAAGCAGTTTAGCTACTGAAAAAAAAAAGAAATGTTAATTGGAACATTTTTAAAAACAGCTTTCAAGTCAGAGCCACATACTTTTATGTAGCGTAAGGAGATTTTATTACATCCTACCATGTGACCATCAAAGGGTTTTAGCATTTTTTCAAGCAAATAAACTCCTTAAAATGTGCCCCTTTGATTTAATACCCCCAAATAAACTCTGGTGCTACCAGTTGCTTTAAAACGTAGCTATTTTGCAAACACATCTGTTTTTTGAGAAGGCTTTGTAAGTTTGGTAGAGGATAATAAGTCAAGTTTATTTGTGCAACACATTTCTGAAGGCAGTTCAAAGAACCTCATGATAAATATGTGAAAAAAATATAAATAACAGTGGCAAAACAGAGAGAAGTAATACAAAACTGTAATTCAGACTCGAATTAATTTATATTCCAGTTATTATTAACAATTAAAGGCAACTCTAAATAAGGGCTTTTTAACCCAGATTTAAAGTGTCTGTTATGTAAAATTGACTTTTTTAAAGCTTTATATTATATTATAATGTCATTCCCTCATCAAAAACATACCTAGATGGTTGCTTTGATTATTTCATGCATGTTTGAGAAATCCTTAAATCTCCTTTGGCCACCATTTAGGGGTGCCTAAACGCTTCATCTCACTATTTCCAAAAAGCTCCTTATTTCCCAAACTTCTGTCTCACAGAGCACGCTCCCCCGCACACTCCACACTGGGCTCCACCAGACTAGCAGCAGCAGGAGCAATTAAACACCTGGCGGAAATGCATGGTGTCTGCTGAGCTTAGCATACAAACTGCTTCTTAGTTGAATGCTCCTGCGGAGAGTTGTAAATGAGATGATGACGAACATTTTTGTGGTGACGTGCGGATGTTGACGTTTCAGAAAGAGCAGGAGCTTCTTAAAGAGACAGAGGCCATTTTCAAGGCATCTAATTGCGAAGTCAGATTTATTTTGAGTCATGTTTTTAATATTTGTAACCTAATTGTGCTATAAAAAGGCATCATGTCCCTGGAAAATACAGAAGGGAACTCGGTGTGTCAACAGTTAGTGAACAAACAGGATTTGACAACACCAAGCATGATAAGGTATAGAATTTCAGGGAATTTTAAGGCATTGGTATGTTAAAAAAAAAAAAAAAAACTGTATCCCAAATTTTGAACAATTCACCAATCTGTTTTCAGAGAACTGAAAGAGCAGGGCCCTTCCAACTCCTGTCCTCAACAGCTACTGTCCTTCAGAGCTTAAATGCATCGCTGTTCCAACACAATTTAATCTGCATAACTTGATGTCTCACTAAAGACAAAATTCAGCCCTTTTATTCAGATATGTTCAAGTAGGGATGCATCTAATATTAGCAGAAAAGTAGCACTTGCAATCTAGAGATAGAATCGCTTTAAAAGGGTTTGGCACACTTGCAAACTTACCAAAACATAGAATGCCACCCAAAGCAGGACAAAAAAAAAACCCCGCAGTGACTTGGGTGAGCTGCAGATAACAACTCTGGTCGTAGAAAACATCAGCGATAATAGTTTTGCTTTTCCAATGAAAGACATGAAGTTGGTGGTAATAATGTGACAAATTGCAAAGATATAAATTAGGGCAATGAATACTTTTGCATACTACTCAATGAAGTGTGTGAAATTAAACTTAAGAGAACATTTATTGTTTTTGTTGTATTGAAGTGCATCTGTTTTTCTCAGACACCAGAAAATTGTGTAAATAACTATACAGTTGTAGAGGAGGGTAAAGGCAGCAGGACAAGAAAACGGCAAAAGAGACCCGTGGCTCATCTATGTTCCTGTTTCTATAGTAAAATTAGCAGTTTGTGTGTTTGTATGTATGCTGGATAAAAGCAAGAGAGTGGGAGAAACTCCAAGAGCAAAGGATAAACATTTCAAACAGGAAGTGTTGTGAGCACACAGACACACATAGTTGCCTGTGTGAATGCTCTTGACAATTATCTGTTATATCAACACATTCAGACAGTTTTCAGGCTTTGGACTTGAGAGCTATCCAGGAACTTCAAAGTCTGATCCATCTGATGCAAATATCTGCGCTCCCTCGCACAGCTCCTCTGAAAAACATCTTGGAAATGTCATTTCTACACAGCTTGCATGAAAGCAGCCAAAGAATAATACTTGACACGGCCGTCTTTGTTCTTTAATTGCTATTGACTTAAGAGCATCAAGTAGGAGCAGTTAGTAATGGTAAGTCTTGGACAAAGTTCTTTTTAGAGTTGGATAAACAATGATAGACACACACAGCGGTGGCTGCAGATAAAAAAGTAGAAGCTCTTTATGCATTTGTTGACCAAACTGTGCAAACCACTCAACTTCACTGCAGCTTTATGTCTGAAAGACTTCAGTCTTGATGTGGAATTTGTGCTTTATTGAACTTTGTGCCCCTATAAATGCAAAATAACATAAGGTAGTTGTTATGTTCACATTTGTTCTACAGACTTGAGGAATATAAGCTTCAGGTGTGCATTTGATGGAACAGAAATGACACCTTTCTTGAATTTCTCTACTTTCCTCTTGAGGAAAAAAAAAAAAAAGCAAAAACATATTTTTATTGCTTTCTGTCACATAAATATGTTACATTTGATATTTTTCATAAGCCTTGTGTGTGCCATTTTTAAAAAAGTTTTATACTTTGATAATTTCTTGCAGTTAAATAATTTAATTTTTTTCCCCATTTCCAACTGTATATACTCTTTTCAACAAAGCTTGAATAAAATATATATGTTTCTTTTTTTTTTTTTTTTTTTTTTTTTTACCATTTTTTTAAAAAATAAATTAAAATTTTTT